GAAGGCCGCCCCTGGCCCAGCCGCCAACCTGTCCTGCCCAGACCAGTGCAGAAGCCACCTCGCTGGTCTCCCCGCAGTGACCGCAGCCCCCACCTTCTCAGCACGGCATCCGGGTTATAGCTGTCCTTTTGTGCCCGTCCAGGGCTTCGTGGCCACTGCTTCTCTACTCCGGCCTGAGTCCTGTGGGACGGGGCCTGCCGCCTTTCCCAGATCTTCTCCTGAAGAGGAATTTTCCACTCAAATGGCTAGCCTTGTAATCAGCTCTTTGTTCTGCTTCTGTAGACAAGCTTGCCACACAGGCCGAAGGACAGAGTGACCTTGACATCAACTGAAGACTTGTCCTCCGCTTTGCTTGCCGTGTCTAGATAACGGATGTATCCGTTGCTTGATAACACATGTATTGCCTAAATTCCTGTCTGAGAATCTCATGAGCTGATTGGCCAATGCCAACTGTAACTGTGTGGATAAGCCCTATAAAAGCAGGGTTACCCCTGAGCTTGGGGCCCAGATCTTCAGAGCGCCAGCTCCTCTGGGACCACCAGCGTCATAAACCTGAGTTCTCCAACTCTCCGAGTGCTGCTTGGTTTCTCGCCGGGCTGATTTTTGCAACATTTCTGGAGGCCCCAGCGAGATTCCAACCACGCCAGCCCTTTGAGCTGCTGGACCGTGGCTCAGTCGGGCCAGGGAGGAGAGGCTCCAAGACGAATGGGCAGGTATGCCACCTGACGGTATTCGGACTGGCACCCCAACTCCCAGGACAGCCAAGCCCCGACCGGACTCAAAGGAGGGACGGACCAACTCACCAGGAACGGCCACAGGATAAGGTAAGGGCCCAGGATCAGCCCCAGTCAAGTCCCGTCTTCGGACGGAAGAGGAGCTTGATCATCTAATGTCTTCAGTTATAAGACACAGGTCAGGGTCTTCCAAAAAGCGAGAGGCAATGTTTTAACCTCTGGGGTGTGAATCTGTGAGTGAATGAGCATCCTGGCTGGTTTGACTCGGTCAAGCGTGAGTTTGTGGCTCCATGGCTGGGCACCCATAAGGTCCCCTGAAGTCTACGGAGTCTGAGTGGACTCGTCTGCGATTCCGTGATGCACGGCATATGGTCCAGGGCAGCACTGGACCAGTGTCCGATCGTAAGTCACAAAGCTGAGTCCGCTATGGCCAAGCGTCACCTAAGCTCCTTCGGACGTGGCTGGAGGAGCACCTGAGTGGTCTCCTCTCTGGAGGAGGCACCCACCCTTGTTTGTCTTTGTGCCACCGATGCAGGGTGGGATATGCAGGGAGGAGGGACAATTGATTACTGATTTGGCTTAAGAATTGTCTGTCTCCAAACGGCCCTTTTGACATAAGGGCCCTCTGTCAAATTATTTTCTTGAAATTTTAAGGTCTATTTTCCCTCTCCATTAGGGAGCTCCCTAAGGCATTATGGGTGGAGGTTCCTCTAAGCCAACTGTCTTAAACTGTATGTTGAAAAATTTTAAGAACTGTTTCCCAGTGGACTACGGGGTCAAAACTCCGTACTCTTTGTGTGCTCGAGTGGCCCGCCTTCGGGGTAGGGTGGCCTTCGGAGGGGACCCTGGACCTCCCCACTGTGAGAGCTGTGTACCAGGGAGTGACAGAGACCCCTGGACATCCAGACCAGTTTCCATACATAGACTCATGGCTGCAAATCGCTACTGTGGTGTCCCCTTGGGTCCGGTTCTGAGCCAAGAGGCAGGGACGGAGTAAGGGGAAAGGACAAGGAAGAGCCAGCAGGAGCCATCCACCAAGGGGACCCCGAGGAAGAGCCTCTCTTCCCTCTGCCGTACATCCCAGCAGCCCGCCAGTCCCCACAGAGCCGCACTGCCCCCAATCACCAGACAGCCCTCCGCCATCGGTGCCCGAGTCCACGGCGCCTTTGCTCGGCCACGCAGCCGGCCCAGCAGCCTGTGGCCCTCCAGATGCCCCTCCGACAGACGCGAGGCCCTCCTGAGATGAGCGAAGACGGCACACCCCAGCCGGGCCGCCCCGTCCTCCGCCGCCAGCCATTCCGCACCGCCGACCTCCTCGGCTGGAAGCAGCACCCCCCCCTCCGCCCCACTCGGTGATTGACCAGGCGGTGATTGACCTGCTCGAGTCCACCCTCCAAACTCATCGGCCTACCCGGGACGACTGTCACCAACTCCTCCTAACTCTCGGCATCGAAGAACGACGCCGGATTCTGTCGGAAGCATGGAGGTGGCTCCAAGGACGAGCACCGGACGGTGCACTAGACCCTGCAGCATGGCCTTGGGGGCTGCGCCTGACGCCAGCCCCAACTGGGACTTCAATGTCCCGAATGGAAAGGAGTCTCTCGACAGGTCCCGGCAGGCCATACTGCAGTAGGTGAAAGCTGGGGCCAAAAATAAACCTCTAGAAGCCAGGGGAGTCACCCACGGAGTTCTACGAGAGACGGTGCGAGGTGTCCCGGGTGTATGTCCCTTCCGACCCGAAGCACAAGAAAACCAGCTCATGGTCAACGTGGCATTCGTGGCCGTCAGCTTCAGAAATCAGAGGGCTTCGCTGGGATGAGCGCCACCCAGCTGCCTCCCCCGTCTCTTCCCTGAGGTCAGGTGACCACCTGTCCACGTGGCCCCGATCCTGCTGGGTCATCACTCTTTACACCCTGCAGGTCGACCCGACGTTCTGGGAACGTGTCGCATCCATTCGATCTGAGCCCTCGGCCTGTCTTCTCCGCCGCTGTACCCCAGAACCCAGAATGGCCGGGGCGCACAGTAGATGTTCAATAAACACGGCGAGAAACCGTGAATGAAGGGGTCCTGCCCTCCTGCCCCAGGGGCTCAGCAGAGGACTTGGGAAAGCCAGGCTCTCATGGAGATGCCTGGGACAGAGACCACCCTCCAGAGAGAGAAGCGTCATGACAAGGGCCTCACGCCCTTCTGTCCTCCAGTCCCTGGGGCTCGGCCATCACCCAGCTGCCTCCACCACTGCTGGGGCTTGTCTGGGGCACTTGGAGAGTCTCGGGAAACTGAGTCCCACAGAGGCCCAGGGGCTGGCATAGGGTCATCCAAGACTGGAGGTCCCTGTGTCAACAGAGGTGGCAGCCTGATGCTCAGCATCACCCCCGCCGTCCTGTGTGTGTGTGCACGTGCGTGTGTGCGTGGTTCAGACACCAGAGAGGCCACTCTGAGTCCCAGAGCCTGTGCAGGGTGGGCGGGCCACCAGCTGGCACGGGGCCTCTGGTCAGGGAGCAGGTGGGGGCCTCACCCACAGTCGGGTGGGCAGCCGCCACCCAGACCAAAACGAAAGGCTTGGGCGGGCAGGAAGGTGGGGTGCAAAGTCTGCTTCTGCGAAGAGAGCTGACTTTGACGGGTTGTTGGGGTGCCTCCGGGAGGGACGAATGGGGGTGGGGAAGCACGAGGGTCTGGTCTGCCAGCAGAAGGGAGGTCTCCGCCACACTCTAGCCAGTCCAGGCCCGGTGTCCTGGGTCCAAGGTTAAGCTCTTCCCCTAGGAGTCACCCCCAGCACAACAGGTGCTGCAGGCTCTGGGCAGCCCCACCACAGGGTGGGGAGCGCTGGGATGGGGTCCACCCTGCCCACCACGTGTGGGGGCTGCCCGCAGGCTCTCAGAGTGCTGGGCGGGACCTGAGTCCTGCAGGACAGGCCCTCGGACCTCTGCGTGTGCAGAGCTGGCGTGACAGGGGCGACGGAGGCCTTTATTTCACCCACGCTAGTTAATAAGCCTCCCACAAGCTGCAGTCCCCTCTCCAGAGCCTCGGATCTGGTCGCAGGCAGCGTCCCAGACTCCGGTCCCGTCATCCGGGGACCCCGCCCCAGGGCCTGCCCTCAGGCTTCCTTTAGGAAATTAGCTTTCCTAATTTCGGTCTGGCCGGAGCCGGCCAGGCCCCCAGCCCGGCACCGCCCAGGGCAGGGCGGCCAGACAGCAGCGGCATCTGCAGCGCGGGGCGCGGGCGCCCCCTGCCGGCCGACTCCTCCCAGCGGGTATGGCCAGCGGGTCATCCGACGCCGGACGCGACCTGCTCAGCGTGCAGACGGCGAAACCGAGGCCCGGAGCCGATTCGGCCTCGGCCGTCCCGACCAGTACCTCCACCGCCCTCGCCGGCCCGCCCGCCGCCGGGTCCCCGCCCCGGCCACTCACCCGCATGCCGTGCTCAGGGTCCCGCCGAGCAGGGAGCCGAGGATGGTGCCGGAGCCCACGCAGAGGCCCAGCCGGCTCAGGGCCGTGGGCCGCTCCTCGGGCGTGGTCAGGTCTGTGATGACCATCTGGGCGGCTGGGGGTGAGACGGGGGGCTGAGCGGCGCTGACCCCTCTCCGACCTCTGTGCGGCCC